TGCATTTTGAGGAAGGACACAAAGAATGGCTGACAATCTCAATTTTATATTGTACTAGAGACCATGCCAATACTAAACATATTCTCCTATTATAGTGGGAAGCCAGTGACAATGACTGTATCATCAATGAATGTGATGGTAAGAACGTTTGATAAACTTATACAAACAGCATGGATATTACTTCATCTCTTCACAAGAACCATAACCTACAAGAGAAAGATGAAAGACACTGTTGCTGCTAGAGACATTTTTTTGTAATTAAACGTGATTGTTTATTAGATTATGCTAGCCTTTTTATGTTATGTATTTCAGGTGTGAAATGCTTATTTTGGGTAATGTGTTTATATATGATTTTGCATCTTTATAATTCCAGAGTTCGAGGACGAACTGTTTTTAAAGGGGGAGCAGTGTGACGATCCTTCAGATTACTTTGAGCATGGTAATGGAATTGCCTTGAAGGATTGTCACTTTGTTTTCAACTTTTTGCTCTTCACTTTATCAATTGTGCTTTTAGTTACTCAATATTTCAAGAGTTATAAAATAATTTAAATTCTGTAAAAGGGTAGTCAGTATTACTACTTTGGCTATACTCTTAAAGTATGGTTAAAGTTAAATCATTTTACTCTATATTTATATTGAGGTTAATAACCTTCTTTTGTGTTTTTCATGTAATATTATTTACAGGATTAATGTCAACATAATATATTTTGTTCATGATAAGAGTTTAATATGAAGGTTTTCGGCCCAGTTTCATGTTTAATGCTACGTTACAAACTTTTTAGAAAGGGCAGTTGTCTGGGTTTGTTTCAAAATCCAAAGTGAGGCTTATTAAGCTTGATTTAAGTAAATAAGCACGATTTAAGTGAATTGTCTTTTTCTGTGCTTTTACGATTCGAATTCAAGCCGGCCAGACATGGAAAACATTTTGTGGAATTTGAAACATTAAATCGTCACTAAAATTGGATATTTATATTGCCGCAGATAAACCAACTTAGGTGTACGAGTTGGTAAAGGTAATTGACTTGATCTAATTGTATTTTTGCAGAGTTTTAGTCTTTGAAAAGAAGTATCTGTACACTTGACTTTTTCCTTAATTTTATTTATTTGCCTTGTGAACATCCCATGTTTAAATTGTCCCAGGGATTGTTAAGGAACATTTGACAAGGTTAACGCAAAGTTACACGCAGAGTTTTTGTCTTAAAGAACCTATGTAACTTATTAATCAGCGTCGAAAGCAAGTTCCCGGGGTTCCTTATTGAACCTTCTATACAACATCCCCACAGGGAATCGTTTAGGAATATTTGACAAGGTGTACGAAAAGTTACTGTCTTTACGAACCTTATGTAACTTGCTCTAAACCAGAGTCAACTGCAAATTCCAGGGGTTCATAGACACCTTTATACGACATTCCCCCCCCCCCCATCCAGTTTGGGACTGTATTTAGTTTGTTCACAGGGTAAATTTTATTGATACACTAGAGATACTCCTTTGTATATTTGTATGTTAAATTCTGGGTAATTTAAAGGTGAAATCCCGGGCTTATGGGACCATTATCAAACAACTGATCATTGAAGTACTTTTAAGGGTCATGGTCATTCGAACCCCATTTTCGGACTTAAGACACCCCCTCCCCTTCTAGTTTTCCATGTCTGGTCTAATTCTATGTTAACCACATTCTAATTCATCATAGATACTAGAATACTTTTAAAATACTGTTTCCCATTTGTTTGCCAATTGTACCTTAGTCTGATAGTGGCAAAATGATGTTCCACTTTTCATGTGAGTAGTATAGAGAGCTGATTTCAACCCCACCAGGGATTATATAAAATTGCACTGTTGAGTTACATTTTTGGGAAAAGACACATTTTAGGCTTTGTTGCAAATTGTTTAACTGAACTTCCATTAGCTGTGCTGTTTTATGCATGTTTGGTTTGAGAGATTATTTACTTGATATACCATCTCGGCAGTACTGAATTGTGTAATGTTTCTGTAGATTAGTAAATAGAAATAGAGTCGTTTTTATACATTATATGAAAATCCACAGAATATCACTTGTTGTGTTCGATTATTTATATATATGTTAGAAAATTCCCCTTTCATTTTATCTGAAGTAGATTCTGGATTCAAAATAGATTCCGACTAAATTCCAGGTGACTTAAGTGATACTAACATTCAAGCAACAAGCTTTATCTTAGCTCATATTTGCTAAGGGCTTCTTTGAATAACAATCACTCACAATAAGTCATACATATATTTTCCCAGAAACTATGCAATAGTGCAAAGCTAAAGTACAATCCAGGATCTTACTTTCTTATTTAACCTTTATCTTATTGAGAATATTAGTGAGAATTTCATTCACCCTGGTTCCAAGTCGTTACCTCAAACATCATTTACTTCCAATGTTTTCTTACTTGCTTGTTTAAATGGTGTACAAGTAATATTGTCCCCTGATGAGTTTGACAGACTCTTGATTTGAAATAGCCCTACTTTAATTCTTACAAAATCTCCCATTTTAAGTGTGAACAGTGAGCTTTATATACAGCTCGAAGTCCATTGTAGCCCCCAGTGGCTAAGACTTCTACCTGGTTATACTCACACCCTAACATTATACTTATTTGATACAACTGAACACTGGGCACATTCAGAATCTGGAGTCTGTTGCCATTCGCCTTTATGAGACAAACAACTTACATTGAAAACTGACAAATCTTACTTAGTCTATATTCAGATTTTGTTATCCCGTAATTGTTTTCCCGAAATTGTCCCACTTCATCCCAATTATTTTTATCCCAGAATTTATCCCTAATTTTTTATCCCTAAATTTATCCCTAATTTATCCCTAAATTTTCATCGCAAAATTTATCCCAATTTGATCCAATTTTGTTATGATACTGTGAACACGGATGTTGTTCAAATAAATAGGGATACACATTTCAACTTTTACTTGAACTTGTCCCGAAACTAAGTTAATGAAAACATCAAATCAAACTATTGATTCTTAGACTGTATTCTGTTTACGACCCCCAAACCACGCTACCACACGAGGGTCGTGACAATACTGACCAGTGACATATATCGACATGGTGTGTCCGGTTCCAATTCCAGCCAATCCGAACATATATAGTATTCCACATAACTCCAGTGCATGAAATAACCAATTGCAGCATCCAAGGTCATTCTTTATGTGGTTGTCAAGGTGACACGTTGACTCTACAAATTGGAATTGATGCTTTGCCCACTTGAGCCTTGCAAAAAGTTTTATTGACAATATATTCTTTTAGCGATGTTGTATATTTTAGTTAAATGGTAAAAATATTTCGCAATGTTTGAAAAGAATCTAAGCCCAAGACTCAATGCATTGTGGAATGACCATGAAGCTGCGTATCTCTTGCAAATTTTGGAAAGCAACCCCTTCAAGGAATAGTCATTCCACATTGCACCAAGTCCAGCAGGGCTTAAATCCTTAAACATAGCACAGTCCGCATTTAATTTTCACATTCATTAGTTTCCCATAGTGACTGTCAATACTATTATTTTCCTTTCAAAAAGGCACCGATTCAAGACTGCGGAATATGTTAATAAATTAAACATTTGGATGTTGTGGTCATGTTAAAGGCCTAAATTTCTGTTAAGTAGAAACCCAGGGTGAAGCTATTAATTAAGCTGGCTGAAATTGAAAGTTTCAGTCATGCTAATGAGCATATTTACATAAATGAATTGTCTAATTTCACAAAAACTAAACAACATTTTAGGAATTTGATTTGAAATTTATAGTCCTTATAGATTCATGAACTACTGTAACAAGAATGAGCTTGTAACTCATAATAATTATTTTGCTATAGCAGAAAGTTTGAAAAAATTCTTATTTTGTTTGAACTGGACATTTAAACTGCCATATTTGGCTGTTGTGGGCTGTTTCATCTGCCTTTTATACCCGATTTTGGTCTAAACATTCCATATCTTGAGATGAGATGAAGCAGTTCAGTTGTTTTTTACATCTTGTTAATTGTTCATAATGTATGGGTCATCCAATTATTTGAAATCAAGACTTGATCAGATCGACGACAACAACGACGACAATGTTATTGTATGCCGGGTATCACTTTGGTTTTGATGATTTAATTCTTCTATAACAGCTGAACAGCAGCTAGGGATGGTTGGGTGTTTGTGTATATAGGCCACTAATACTACAAGTTCATAAATCAGCTGAGCTTGTATGTTAGGCAAAAAGCTATTTGAACCTCAACACGGCGTGTAAGAAAGAAAAAACACTCTTAACACAAGGTCCGTGACCATTTACCCCTGCCGTAGACCCATGATACAGCCCAAGATCTTTAGCCCTACTCTGCAATTAAACACTTGATATTCTGAAGACACAAACTGAGATGATAATTAATATCTCCAAGACTGACTGAAATTCGTAAGTTGTTCATAATTCGAAAACCAGCATGTGAGCATGCGCAAATGTAACCTAGTATTATTCCCAACAGCGGGGACCATATTGCATTAAGCTCTAAGACATTTGACATCCGCATCAGTTGCTATAGTTACAGTCATATTAAAATCACGCAATATTGATCAATGCAACAAGCATGGCGTTCAAAATATGATATCTTGTTGAGACCTGAAACAACGGAAAGTATGGTATTGGTACACGCTAATGCAATGGAGCAAACAGGCAGAATTTTAATTCCGTAATGGACAACACCTCATATTACAACCATGTGAATACATAATTATGAGCAAGTAAAAGCAAGGATCACTAAGTTAATTGACACTTATTACAATTTCAGAGGGACTTTATACACTGTAATACTGCAGGTTACTATAGTATCATATCAAGATGAATATTCAAGATTCATATTTCTGATGTACGGATAGTATAGAAAGACATAAAGAAGCACTTTTATATAGTTAAGACCTTTCACAAAATTACAATGTATAGCTTGAACACACTGAGATCGTTCCGCAGTTCTATGTTACAGGAAAGGACAATAACAATGCTTTCCAATGGGGTCAAACCATATAAGGATATACCAGGCCCGCGAGGTATGCCCATATTAGGATCTTTAATAAGCGCACTCCGTACCGGTCTACTTCAACAGCAACAGCTTCATAAATATTTCCAGAGGCAAGCTGAGATTTACGGGCCTATATATAAAGAAAAACTGGGCTCTTATGAACATGTGAATATATTCGACCCCGATGATGCAGAGTACTTGTTGAGGCGAGATGGACAGTATCCACAGCGGGTACAGTTTCCTGCTTGGGATTTATATCGCAAAGATCGTAACCTGTCAATGGGATTACTTATGAGGTTGTATATTACAATATGCGCAATTGACACCCTATATATTCCTCTATCGTTTAAATGAATACATAATGATTCTGAATTGACCTTTTTCCATTTAAATGGAAAATAGATGGCATCATGGGTATTGGTAGGGCTAAGGTAGGGCTAGAATACATGTAAATGTATTGCCAGAGTCTATTAATTTCTTGATTTAGAAGTATTTCCATTTGGATCAACTAAAAACACCATTGGAATATAACTATATGATCTTATTGACATATGGATTGTTATTTCACATTAGAATTGTGATCCTTTAAAGGTTTTTCAGCATTGTGTCAATGGGGATTTAGCCTGGCCCTTTTTAGACAACTAGAAAATCATTAGAATTTGAATAAAGGTTAAAAATGGTGAAAAGGATAAACAGAATTCAAATATGCCATCAAATAGAAGAAAATGTTAGCCTTTAATGGTTGAAAATCCAGATCTCCCAAAATCTCATTTAAAACGAGACTTTAACGAGATTTCAAAGCTATACGGAAAAAGGACCATTGTTTCATGTTTGCTCACCACACAACTCCTTTCAGTCATGCAGAAGAGTGGCATAAGAACCGTATACCATTCAACAGATTTCTAATGCGCCCAAAGCCTGTCGCTGGCTACACTGGGATCATGGACGAGGTGGCTACGGATATGGTAGAAAGACTTGATAGGATACGCAAGCACACTGGTCTAGTGGAGGAACTTTATGACGAGCTATATAACTGGTCCATCGAATGTATGTATGAACACAAGATAGTCACTGCGATAAATTAACAACCAGTAACTACTACGAGCTTTTATTTCGACGGTGCTTTAGATTTCCCCATGTCACATGTTGATCTTCCCAGTGGAATATATAAGTTCTAATTCGTTCTAGATAAGTTCAAATGAGTGACATCAAGTTAAATCTTAGTTTTGCTCTTACAACCCGTCACAGAAATACCCTTCTGGGTGGTCACAAAATATAATGTTTGACGATATTAACATCAATTCTTATATTTTAATTGTAGTAATTATTTAGGAACAAAATTAGATGGTATATATTTATCCGCTAACGCTATCCAATGGTGTCTTCCGATTGATGAATGAATGAAGGAAGTGTATGATTTAAGTCATTGGCAATTATTTTATTTAAAAGAATGGAAACAAAGCTTCCTTCAGAGCCTATTTTGGATATTTTTTCTATGAATTACTCTGCTTAGCGTTTGTCCATCTCAATTTCAGCTGGAGGCACGATGTTCTTTGAAAGAAGACTCGGATGTTTAAATGACAACAGAAACCCAGAAATAACAGAATTCATCAAAAGTATTCGTAATATCTTAACGGGTAGCGACGTGTTTTTCTTCCTTTCTCCTCGACTTGCGAAAACTCTGAGACTACCTGCATGGAAACAATTGGAGCAAACCTTGGACACCATGTTCCGTATTTGTAAGTTGACCTTAGAACTCCAAAACATCGTTGAGAAGTAGAACAAAGATGATACACACCCATTTCTTCTCTCTGTGGTCTGCCACAAATGCTGGTATAAAACGGACAAAAAACATGATAGTATGATGTATCATTGTTTTATTTTATGTCACCCACATATCTAAACATAAGATCGTATGTGTCTCTGCGTGCTCTAATTTGATGGTTTTAATTTCATTTAATTTCATTTAGATACATAGATCTGGGAAACCCATTCTAATACATACATCCACGGTTAGTATTACACGTTGGACCGTCCGGGTAAACTGAAAACAGATTAGAGTTTCCACATTGAATATTGTTATTTCACCAAGCACCTCTTTCTCTCACGGGCCATCCAATTTGTACGAAAAGGTTGGTTATCGTTGCCAGACACCGTTCCATCATTGACAGTACTTGTCCCTGTAGAATTATAACCACTAAGAGCTTGATATGTATATTCACTCCCCTCTTCACCTATTCTGAAGGCAGCATACTCCGCAATTACTTGTTGATTGTCCCATCCACCAAGTTCAAATCGTACTTTGTTGTCTCCTCGCTTGAGAATAGTTAGAAGCCTCAAATCCAATGAAGTATGCCCTCTTGTGGTGACCCAAATCCATTTTTGTAGACATCTTATGTTCGATTATGAAAGATCTCCCCGGCATTGAATTGGTGTGCAATAACCAACCATTCTCATAGTTCGCGATCACAGGTTTGTGTCGTTATTTGGTTGTTCCATTTCTGGCCAGATGACAGTCTTCATTAATGGTATGTTTGTTGTAAATACAGTGAGAGAAAATATACATTTAGCATTTAGATTGCTTTTCATTGTCAATTCAAAAAAGTTTTAATCAACTAAGCATAGAGATAAAATATTGTCAGCTGCGTGTTATTGACCTCGTCGATGATGATGATGGATGCAAGTTAAGAAACCGCCCATAAAAACATGAGCATAATATATTTTGTGAGCATTTTACATACCAGTAATCATATTTAGTTTACTCTCCATGGATGTTAGTTGATCCATCACTTTGACTTTATTCTAAATGCTTTTCTAATTTCCGACTTTAGCGTTGATAGATCACCACTGTCAGCATTTGCACGACTTCGAAAACGATACTATTGTGTTATATGTAGGCTGTTCGTTGCAACAATAAACTTTAGGTAAAATTGAAAACAAGTTGCAGCTGACATCATGAGCTCATCTAGGCTAAGTATCAAAAACGTCAACAGCCATATAGACCACAACATCGACAAGACGATGGGGTAAAAACTTTTTGGATGGTTTACCCTGACCAATTAATGCAAAGCCGTCTAAAGCAATAGTTAGATTGAGTTCTGAGACTGTAAGAAAAAACGGAAATTAACAATTTCCATCAAACTCCTGAACCGAGTTTGGTTATGCCACAATTAATTCTCCATATGGTGACAAAATTACCTTTTAATTATACAGGGTGGTCCAAAAAAATGGGACACTCGTATTTCAAAAATATATATTGATTTTCTTGATGAAAACATGTCATATTATATACCAATGGATAGGGAATTGACTCATCTTTAATTTGGTATATCATAAGTTCAAATTTATTACAATGTCTGTCAACCAGCATCCATTATATAAATGACGTCATTTTCGTTTCAAAACGGGTTTTCCGAAACTTGCAAAAACCAAATTTATTGTCAACTTTATTTACATAAACAGACGTTCAATATGTACACCATTTTGATCAATTGCAGCCCTTAAATTTGGCCTAAACTGGTCAATAGCATCATTGATATGCTGTTGAGACAATGAATTTCACT